AATTTAAACACAAATTAGCTTTAGTAGTAAAATCAAAAGTAATGCTTTGTTATTAGTGCTAAACAGTGTATCGATTAACTGTGATAAATGTATATCTATGCCAAATCTGCCATTTGTTGGCTATGTTCTTGTGTTGTCATTGAAACTGATTGTGTTGTTTTATTTAAAGTTGTAAAATCCTCATTTCCAATAACTTACACCCAGACTCGATATTCCCAGTATATCTGAGTTATTTACAAATGTTTTATTGAAATTGAAAATTTGAAAAAAAAAATTAAAATTTTGTTTGTGATAGTTTATTTACTCACTTCAGTAAGATGAGAAGACTATTATAATGATAAATAATACCATTTGAATTAATATTAAGTTATTTATCATTTTTGCATATCTTTGTTATATTTTTTCATCAGTTCATTAACACCCACCCACAAATTGAAAGTGTAAATTGTAAGAGATGAAAAAAATTTTTTGAAAAATTTTAACTATCTAACATTAGATTATTAAAAGTATTAGATTTTTCTCTCAAACTTATAATACTACATAACTAGTACAGCAATTTTAAAATCTAAAAGTATTTTAAAATTTAAAAATAACTGTAGGCGTTCGGGTCACCAATGTAGGCACCAACGTGGACGATGGTCGATTGGCACTACAATCCTTTGTTTAGTCGTAAGTAGCGGAGCTCTTGTCGAACACACCTGAACTGTGTCGTGGCAGGTCGAATAAGCGCGGTCGTCTGACGAAACGCTCACGTCATCGACGGGAGGCCCTCTGGTGGCGACTGTAGGTGCTAGCGCCTCATAACAATTGATATTGTTATAGGCTTGTATATTTTGTGCACTATAATTTTGGGGGAAATTTTGTGTATGTTTGGGTAAAATTTTGGATCCTGAAAATACTCTGCACCCTCTTTTCATAAGTTGCATTGTACTACAATACTTCTTGCTGCCTGCAGACAGCTACACTTGGTCAGCCATACTGTCAGCAAACATATCAACACAACAACCAAGTAAACAAATTTCCTGACTTTTCCTGATTGTTCAGGTGCATAGGAACCCTGTATATTCATCCATTACTGCTGACCTGAATGAGAAAATCAAAAGAATCATGGGAAACAGCACAGATGTATGGCTTTTCTCATTGGATCATCCACAACCCATCTAATACCATCAGGAACAGCTTTTCCAAACTACAGCGAGCAAACATGTCCAAGAGAATTGGGCAGTTAATCTCATTGTTATGGAACTGTAGGCAGTTATAGTCCTTTTTAAACACTTCAGAAATAAAAATATTAACATATCAATGATCTGGCTAACCACTATATACAATATCATTAAGAATAACAAAGAACATTTTTTAAAAGAATATCAAAGTGGGATATACAAAGCTCTGGTCAATGATGGAAACAACAACACACATTATTACATAAGCGGCACTTGCCATACCCTGGAAACTAGAGTGAAAAAACACTAAGAAGATTTGAGGAAGAGATGGGTGAGATCTCTGGCAAAGAGATTTTAACCAACCAATGATTTGATTGCATTCAGCCTGAAGAGGATAGTTGTAAACTATCAAGAGTACTTGCAATTTTTTGAATAAAATGTTGGTTTTAATCCATAAGACAAAATACATTACATTATACAGTAAATCAATATTAGTTCAAAATTTAAGGGACAAAATAATTGCTACTTTGAATTATCTGAGATTTACATATTTCTGTATACTATACAAAATGCCATATAAATGTTAATGTAATTTAAAGTGGCCCAAAAAGAAGTAACTTGTCCAAATGTAGCCAAGAGCCCTACAAATATATCAATTTGTTATACATAGACCAATCTCACAATCCCGAAACTCAGTGAGATAAGAGAAAACAGGGCAGTGTAAGATACACACGCAGTGAGTGTAATCAAACAAGAGGATAAGCATATAACATACACCTATGTTCTTTCTCCACCCGTGTTTATTTTCTTTACAAGATTCTTTTATATATTCCAACACTCCTCATGTTTGTTTCTTTACATATACTTTTTGAAGATACTTGGACAGAATTGGAAAAGTATAATCTCGCAACAAAAAAAAAAAACCAAACATATCCACCACAGTGTACACAAAAAAAAAAGGAAATTATGATTAAAAACTTAAAACTACTTATGCTAAAAAAGGAAGGGAAGAAAATATAGATAATAGGATAGATGGATATATAGTGATGGTAAAGAATGGGTACTCAAAGTTATCAACAATCTTGGGGTGATGGTGGTGATTGCTGAATTATTAAATCTCCGAATTATAGGGATTGATGATTGTAGAACTCTCTCAGATTCTCTCAAGCAGCTTCGGAAGGTCCTTATCTTAGGATATTTCAGACTCCTGTCAAATGCTAGCTTAGGTTTATCACCTCCTTTGTTCTCCAGTCGATGCCAAGACAATCTGGAGGAACTCACAACATGTCATCACTCTCCAACGTTCAAGCCAAAAAGTCAAGACTTGTCCTAATCTTAGCCCTCAGAGCTACCCCTTTCTTTTGTTTTGTAATTAGGCCACTACCACCTGAACAGGGAAGGGTTAGGGAAGACACTTCTAGAAGGTGATAGACAAAAGAACCAAGAACAAAGAGGAAGAAAATGAAATAAATACTAAGAATAATATGTACAAAATATGGCGTATGACCACAGTAGTCCATGCATAATGTGACACCTGAAAATGTGTTCCTGTAAAAGCAAAGCCATATTGACCAGATAGAGTTGTTCTTGATCTATTATTCTCTTTTATTATAGAGGTACTTCAATCTAAATGAACATGTTAACATACCCATATCACAGTTCACAGAATTTTCACTTTGAATTTCGAAGTAGCCATATTTTAAACTAACCAAATTTCTTAACATGTAAATCTCTATATCTCTGGCTGGGATAATAGTACAGTTATGAACTAATGGGATTTCAAACTAAGTTCAAATTAACAAGGATTTCCTGTAACATTACACTAAACTAATTTCCTGTTAGGAAGGAAAGACTGTTCTACCACATACAAGATTCTTCCCTTTAAGAAATGCCAAAGAACTGGATATAGTGACATACAACCTCCCTTTACTAAATAGAGAAAACAAAGAATTGGATGCTGGGGTGTGGTTACTTTCATCACTTCAACCCATGCTTTCAGACATGACTATTTTCTGCAAAGAACTTAACTCATCACCTATTTTTGGACGACTTACTTGGTGATGGTAAGTACAGTAGAGCCTTGATTATCCGACCCCCGATTAACTGACACCTCGGTTAACCGACCATCCTGGTTGGCAAATTTCGAATGTCCGCTAGTGATGTGGCGCTACAATATTTGGCTATGTCTTGACTACTTTAATATTATTTTTACGTGTTTTAGCTGGCAACATTCATTCGACCATGAAAGGGAGCCAGTATTTAAAGAAGGCTTAATTTTCTAATTTTTAACGTTACAATAGCGACGATTATTATTTAAAAAAATTTTTGTTAGGCTTAACATCAATGAAAATTCAACGTGAAGTAGGTTAATAGCGATATACTAATATACTAATTACATGGGATATAATAATATACTACACTAATAATGGATTTTTTCATACTTTTCGGTTATCCGACTTTTCAATTATCCGACCAACTCCAGTCCCCAATTGAGTCGGATAATCGAGGCTCTACTGTACTCCCTTCTGGAATTTAATCATATATCAAAACTGATAAGGATACTATGTGACAGTTTTGAACTGTTTTAGCTTAGTCTATTTATTTTATTTATTTGTCTTTTTAACTTATTTTATTACATTAAAGTTATTTTATTTTTTATGTCTTCTTTTGTTGCTTTTATCATTGTATCAATCATTTAGTTTATAAAGTTGATGTTTACTTATTAAAACCATTATTTTTACATACAGTGTTTAAATCAAAAAGTTCTGATTTATTTAAAAACTGTTCATGCATTCAAACTTCCTAAAGATTCTCAATGCAAAATATTAGATATTATTGTTCAAATTTCTGTTTTCAAATATATATTACAATTCAAATTTTCTTTTTTAAAATATTTGGGGCTGATGATGGAACATAGTGGACCCAAAACACAGTTTTCCAATAAAATTTTGAGTTTTTTTTTTTTTTAATAATATTTGAAGACAAGTTTTCCCATATAGGGATCACCATTTTTTGCGTAAGACAATACATTTTCGGCGACCGACCTTCCTTTCTAGGCTACTAGCCGCCAAAAAGTTTTAAAAAAGTCCTTTTAAAAACACAAAAAAATATCCAATTAAAAACACAAAGATTTTCTAAAATCAGAACTGGTGTTATACGAACGTCTTCCTTGTTACCATCTGTACTTTCTCGGGAGTGTTTCGGTCTTTTATCCGCTGAGAAGAGAGCGCTGGAAAATGCAGATTAGAAAGGTTTCCCTAGTGACGATATTTTACAGTCATAATTCGTAATTTTTTCGTCCGATGGTTCTTTTTATTTTTTAGTAATATTTGAAGACAAGTTTGCCCATATAGGGATCACCATTTTTTGCGTAAGACAATACATTTTCAGCGACCGACCTTCCTTTCTAGGCTACTAGGCATTCGTATAACACCAGTTCTGATTTTAGAAAATCTTTGTTTTTTTAATCGGATATTTTTTTGTGTTTTTAAAAGGACTTTTTTTAAACTTTTTGGCAGCTAGTAGCCTAGAAAGGAAGGTCAGTCACCGAAAATGTATTGTCTTACGCAAAAAATGGTGATCCCTATATGGGCGAACTTGTCTTCAAATAATATTAAAAAATAAAAAGAACCATCGGACAAAAAAATTACGAAAAATTTTGAGTCTTAAAACTTTACAGCATTGGTGTTTTTTCTCCTAATAAAGGCTATAAAAATTTCTAAATATTTTTGGATATCTTACTAATCATTTTATCAATGATCAAATATTTTATGTCATATTATAAAGTTAATTTCTATTATAAACAAAATCATTCCTTTGTAAATGTAATTTACCTACCGGAGAATCATCAGGTGACCAACTAATAAATACCCATTCATATCCTAAATTATTTTGACTATCCAAGCAATAAAAAATATAACATGGTTGTTTATCTTCTATGAAATTCAGCATGTATCTGTCATAATCTGGCATAAAAGTTAAGAAAATTTTACTAAAAATGTAAGATTTTATTTATAAGAAAAACATTTATAAGATAAAACATAGAAACAGTCATTTACAAAATATGAAAAACATAAAAATCAAACAATATTCACATATAGACAACTTGAGCCAGGATTATCTTCATTTTGAAGTTTTAAAAGACTTACATAAAAAAATATAATTTTTTTCAAGTCTATTTCTTTTTCTTTTATCCTTTTCACAGTCCTCAGAAGTAACAGCAAATTGGCTTAAAGATATAGCATAATCTTCGTTAAAACAATGATTATAGAATATTAAAAAATTCGCACAAAGTTAAAAACTTAACAATATGTAAATTTTTCGACTATAAATTAGACTTTCATCTATTATCAGGACTTATTATACTGGTTTTACAGATAATATTACAAAGATTGACAGAAAACAATTTTTATTTTATTTCGTATACCTGGACACATACACAATTTTGTGTTTCGGACATATTCGTCCCTCCTCAGCAGGTATTTAAATATGTTCTATAAACAATAAAAAATAAAAATAAAAATTTACATTTAAAAATTTTTTTTTTCCCGACAAAAATATTCAATAAAATTCTTACAATTTTCCAGTTTTCTTTAATTTCTTGCTCCACTGGATATTCAAATTTTATCAACAATATCGCAATTACTATTATTTTAAACCTACATTAAACCAAATTCTATTACATTATATCAATTTTATACATTTATTTTCTGTTATTACAACTTACATTTGTTCTCTTTCTGTTTGTCTCACACCTCGTTTCCATTTCTTTCCATCGTTCTTATCATCTTTTGGACACACCCCTTTTTCTATAAATCTTAACCATGATTGGTGGATTTCTCTGCCATTATTGCTGTTTATTCTATTATTTTGTCTGATTATATACATATGTTCATAAAGCTGTCTTTTGTAATTATTCTTCTCTTTTTTCTTTATTTTTACGGAATTCAATACAATTTCACAACCTGTATTATTACAATGCTCTGCGACTACTGAATTTGCATAATTTCTCTTGATTGCACGGATGTGTTCATTTATTCTTATTTTTAGTTTCCTTTTTGTTTCTCCTATATATATTTTTTCTGGTTTACAACTGCAATTAAATGAATATACAACACCTTTTTCTTCTAATATATCGTAATTTCCTTGATTTCTATAACATAAATGGTTTTTTGTTGTATTTACTTTTTCCGGTATTAGATTGATTTTACTATTCAATATTTTCTGAATTCTTTCAAATATCTTAGGGATATACCTTATTTTAACAAAACTTTTCTCTTTATCTATTAAGTTTGATTGTTTATCTATTTCCAATTTTTTTAACCATTATTCAATAGACTTTTTGGATAATCATTTAACATAAACATTTTTATTATTTCTTCTTCTGATAATAGATGAAAGTCGAATTTATAGTCGAAAAATTTACATATTGTTAAGGAAAAAAGGACATTGAGGCAATTTAATTAAAGTTAAAAACTGATCAAAATGACAACCTTTTTAGGCTACAGCACTTTCACAATAAAACAATGATAAAAAATTTTTCACAATATCTACTTTGCTTTATAGCCATAATATTTTAACTGATTCAAACCCTCTGGTGGACTTTCGGGTAATCACACAAATTTTTGCAAGGTCGGCATTTTGATCAGTTTTTAACTTTGTGTGAATTTTTTAACATTCTATAATCGTTGTTTTAACAAAGATTACATCATATTTTCAAGCCAATTTGCTCTTACTTCTGAGGACTGTAAAAAGGATAAAAGAAATAGACTAAAAACAAATTATATATTTTTTTATGTAAGTCTTTTAAAACTTAAAGAAAAAAAATATGAGATGTTATCTTTTATAATGTAGCTTTGCCTCACAGTTTCAGTGTGTTAAGGAGAATTGATTCTCCATCTCAAACCTATAAAACATGCATATCATAACCAATATTTTTTTACGTGAACTAGTAAAATAAAAGGCTAAAAATATCTTATGTGATTGGCTGCCAATACCAGAGTAGTGACCTACAACTGATTCATGCATTTACTACATTGTAGAAAATAAAAACAAAAAACAAAAAAAAAAAGCTTAGAAACATTCACATAAGCTGGAAAATTGATAACTAATAATTTATCTAATGCTTTAATACTTCTTTCAGCAATTATTTTCTTAGAAAAAAACATTTTCAACCTCATCAGCCTTCTCAGGTATGTGAGCAGAAAAAGAATTTGAGTGAGTTTCCAAAAATTCCATAGAATTTTAGTGTAGCTAATAATGCTGGAGTGTTCTGTAAATTCAGAAATTTAAATTGACAGATATCTAACAAAATTCAAATATAACACTACAAAATTATTACAAAAATTGCTTGTAGCCCTTGGTATACTTATATTAATTAAATTATCAACAGTCGTGAGGCAGATAATAGTGAGGGCTTATCAGACCAATGATGGGCACAAATGCTCAGGAATCAAAGTGAAAATGTTTAATAAACACAAAAATGACTACATAAGTATGGAAATGAAAAAACCCAAAATGCATTCGTTTTTGTATCATTGTTGTTAACATGATTAATTATACTAAAATCTTTAGTTAATACCAACTGATGAGGGATTATTTTCTGATAGAAAATAGTCCCTCATCAGTTGGTATTAACTAAAGGTTTTAGTATATTTAAAATTATACAAGGTAAAAGTAAACTTAAAACTATGCCTAAAGCTTTACAATATAAAGATGAAAACACCATTATAACTGTATGAGCAGTAAGCATTATCAGTGTAGACAGGTGTAATAAATCTTCATAACGTTGCAGGGTGGCCTGATGTACAGGGTGCTGATACAAAACAGTTATAAATTAGCCAATAATATTGGTTTACAGTTATGAACTAAAGTTATACAGACAGATTATATACATACCAAAAACAGTAAGACGACAGAGTTGCAGGTGCAAGCATTACAACAAGGTGCAAACATTAAAAAAGTACTGGTGCTTTTGATGCAATTACTATTGATTGAATCAGTAGTCATGACTGAAATTTTTACTAGTTGATATTGACATCATCTGCTTTATAAATATATTTTTCAATAGATAATACATGAACAAAACATTAAGAAATTCAGACCTAGCAGAACTTAGACGGTATATGTACAGTACAGTACATACAAAAATATTTTTCAAATTCCAATTGGCATATTAACAATACAGTAAAGGATACCATCTTCCCATGTTCCTTTTGGTGCTTTAAAATCAGTAAGTACCAATTGCTCTAGATTAAAGACAAATTTCAAAAAGTTATTACAAATATTTTCATTTATACCTATTACTTATCAAAATTATAAATTTATTTCTAGCAAAATATATTGTACAATAAGTTGCAAAGGTTTACCTCAAATAATTTAATATATATTATAACCAAATTATGTTGAACTTACTATTAAATATCTGTATATTTTTAAAGGTTTACAAGTTTTTTGTTTAACTAAAACTACAATATTTTGTTTAAGAATGTAAAAATTATAATTTTCTTAAATAAAATTTTATTGAAAATTCAATTAGATCTACAATATTAAATGAGAGCAAAAACAGTGAAAAAATAAATATCTAAATAAACAAATACTTTTAACCTAATTACCCCTGTATTCACCAATACAAGTTAAATAGAGTTGACAAACTCCAGTTTAATGTAACTTGAAGTCAGATTTCAAATTACTCTTCTTTTGTATTCAGATAAAAATATAACTCTAGAGCATCCTTTATCAAAGTGGATGATAATGCCCCCTTGTGGGCGCTGGAGGCTTTCAAGGGGGCAGTAGAAGGCTCAGTGGTTAAATATGAGTTTTATTTCTTCTCATTGAAAACTTCTTTGATCTCAGAAATAGGATAAGAGTCACAGTCTATCTATCCTATCCATATAATAATGCATGTTGAAACATTATATCTGCAATAACTGTTTTTAAGATACGCAACAGATGGTAATGTAAAAAGGTAAGTTAAAAAATATGGGGGTACTAGATTTTTTTTAAACCTCAAAGTGGGTGGTGGTCGAAATAAGTTTGAGAATCTGTGCTCTAGAGTTTCTCTACTCTAGAGTTAATGGTTTAAAACAATCCTGCATTCGAGATTAAATAAGTCTTCTTTCATAAGCAGCGTGTTGATTGGTTGAAAGCAAACACAGCAAAAGTCAATTGGAGAATAGTGCACACCATAATTTCACAAATTTTGAAAAGGAAATACTGCTTGAGTTAGTCAAAAAATACAAATGTATAATAGAAAATAAAAAACAAATGCTGTTTCTTCCAAACAGAAGCAAGATATCTGGAAAATATTAACCAAAGAAAACAATGGTATCCTGGGTGTCATGCTCCAAAAAAACAAGCAGCTATGGGACTGTTATAAAAACTTTAAAAAAAAGCCTTAAAAGAACAGTCACAGAAAAAAACTGAATTATTTATAATAGGAGGAGGGTTTCCCCGTTTTAAATAATTTGAATGTAATGGCTGAAAAACTGCTTTTGATAGGTGTCCTGACTCAGCCTCTAGAAAACGACTTTGATAGTGATGCCCAACCTAAAACAAGTAAGTATTAAGGCATTATAATTTACAATTTTTTAAATTTTCAATTAATTAGTAATATATTTTAATAGAAGAGATAGCTACAACTTCTGTAGTAAATGTTCAAGATACATCTGATGTATCTGCATCTGAAGTAAGTCAATGTCTATTTAGTTATCAATAAATTACTTTATAATACTTAAATGATAACTGTGTAAATATCTTTAGTATACATGAAAAATACTTTCTATATAAAGTCTATACTTCACTATACAATACACAATAAGAATATACATACATTTTATGTGTATAAATTACATCTATAATTTAAACTACATCATGTAATTTAAATATAAAACTATAATATTTAATATATGAATTGTATGAAAGTTTACACTGTATGTACTATTCAAATTATGTACATCTTAATAATTTGAAATATTGCTATAAGTTACACATTCTTTCATTTGACATTTCATTCATAAATCAAAAAAGTCTAGATAATTTTCAGTTACAAATGTCTTGCAAGTTTTAAAAGAATTAATATTAGTAGTAAGTAATATAGTTTTAATGCCAAGTTCACACATTTTATTTTCAAATAACATAATTTATCATCTTGCAGGTTTCAGCTATACCACAAATTACTAATGTAATGTTTGTGGATGTCATTGAACCCTCTGTAGATTTTTATATTGGAGAATTTCAAAATATTGATAATCAGCAGGTAAATCTTAAAAATAATTATATTCCATAAAATTACTGTTTTAGCTTATAATGAAAATAATTACCTTTCAATCAGAGTTCCACTAATGGCAAAAATAATCAAATTAAGAATAAAAGAAAACAACCTGAAGTAACTGAAGCCATCTTGAACAGACAAAACAGAGTAAGGAAACTCTTGAAGAAGAGTATAAATTAAAAATCAAATTTATGACAGAAGAGCATAATATGATAATGCTATTGATGAAAACATGATTAAAAGTGCAGGATAAGAATAAGGTTTTACAAATTTTAAAAGATAATCCATCTGATTTAAGACTTCAACTAACAAATTTGTAATCATTACTTTTCTGCAAAATTATATATATATGTTACCGGCCAAACCCGATTTCAGGCCAAACTAGTTTATCCTATGCGTGTCAGGATACAGTAGTTTAGCCTAGGACAATCTAGTTTGACCTGAATACTTTAAATTTAACTAGTTTGTCCTAGGCCAAACTGATTTAGAATTATTATTTAAGTCAGGCCTGGCCAACACAAATTGTTTCGCGGGCCACTTTGATCATGCGTAATATTACAATGAGCCACAATTTAGGTAAACATGCTTTTAAAAAAGTAAAATAAATACAAAATGAATACGATTTCATTGTTATACCAAGAGTTCGTACTCGCACTTGTGCATTATAACAATGACACATGCAAATTTTCATTTATTTAATTGTTTTGGTATACACAAAATGAAAAACGAAAGTTTTAATAGATATATAATATCGCTTAGCGGACCACACAATTTAATGTGGCAAGCCGCATGCGACCCACGGGCTGGCCAGGCCTGACTTAAGTATATTAATGGTTAAAATAAAATTAAAAGAGAATCAATTCGATGAACAATATTTATTAAAACACAGTCTACTTAATTATAAAAAGCAATATTGATTAGAAGTGACACAACACTTGTACAAAAGTATAAAATAAAAATAAGCTAATCAGTACTTATCAGTTTGTATTTTTTCATTAAGCCATGCACTTTTAAAGGTAATTAACTTTCGAAAATATTTTCAAAAATTCAAATTAAATAATAAAAATAACTTTTAAAGTCGAACTAAACTTAAAAATGAAGTTCTTATGTTTCTTATGTTGTTCTTATGTAAAAATGAAGTTATTATGTGTGATTAAGAAATATGCTTCTTAGTGTAACATATAAAATATTTAATCTTTTATTTATTTTTACAGGATGGGTTAAAGTGTACCTAGGTAACCCCAATGGCGGCACTTTGGACTGTTCGTGCTCCCGGCGGACTCCTTCCGAAGGGGAGCCACCGGCAGGCCGCCCATTGTTTAACGTCACTAGTTATTGATTCACGGTAGTTCTTGAACAAAAGAAAAGAAAGGAACATTTACTAAAAATGTAGTTAACCTAACCAAAGCACCGCCATTGGAGTTACCTAGGTACGCTTTAACCACCGGGTATACTGTGGTGGCATTTCAAATTACACAAAATCATTTTTTTTTTACACTGGCACCTATTTGTAGTACATAAATCAGTTCGATCTAGGTCAAACTAGTTAAGCCTAAAGTATTTAGGCTATAGGGATTGTATACCGGTTTACCGATTAACCGATAAATTGACAAAAAAACATTCGGTAAACTTACCTGTAAATTTTTGAAATTTACCGGTAATTCGATAAGTGAAAAATCCATACTAGAAATTTCTATGTAGAAAATATTGTGTTTATAGATATTTAAATAGGCTAAAGGGACATTAAAAAAAACAAAAAACAGGTAAGTGTAAGCAACAATATATCTCATTATTAATTTTATGTGAGATAGTTTTTGTTTAATTTTAATTTAATGACCATTCGTCCAACAAGTGTTCAATCAGAAAGGGTATTCTCGGGATCTGGATTATTTTGTACAAAAATTAGATCAAAATTAGGAGATATGACCAGTGGTGATATTCGAAATATTTAACAAAGGGTTCGCTAACAGAAAATTTTTCCGTAAACACATTAAACCCCAAGCCCGAGATATCTCAGGCAAGTCACATAGCGTTACATAAAACTCGGGCGTTTGGACCCACTAAAAAGTTTTGGTTTTTTTGGATTTTTGGAATGTTTTTTAAGTCTCCAAATTTTTTCAAAAATTTTTTCCCGTGCGAAAAAAATTATCGCGATTTTAATTTACTTTTAATGAGCACGATTTACGCTTAATTGCTTTTTAATTGTTTTTTAAATGGAGTTTGATATCAAATTTCATTCATCGTTCTAAAGTTGTAGTGCACAAATTTTCCTTCGGTAAGTTATTTAAAGCTAGTTTCTGATGTCAAAAACGACCTCCGATAGTTTTTAAATTTTTTTAATTAATAGATTTTATTATATATAAGTTTAATTAAGTCGGGGGG